TTTAGAGTGCATGATTAAAGATGCTACACAAATATTTGAAAGAGTTACATCAAAAAAATCAATATCTAGCAATTTATTAAAAGCTTATTTTGGAAATGAGCTTTTTACTGAAATTCATTCCTTATTAAATAATTTGGAAAAACTTAGATACCTTGTTAACAAGGTACAACAAAAACAATTTCTAAATAGGCAAGGTTTATTGGGTATTGTTACAGAATTCTGAAATGGAAATAGAAAATTTGATGGATATTTGCAAGAAATTGGTAATTTATAATTATTTGAAATTTATATATTTATTAATTATTAATTTATTATTAATTTATAGAGATATTTGATAATGAAAAATTTATAATTATTTGTATGGATAAAGAACAAGCAATTGCTTGAAAAAATACTGATAATTATCAAATAGATATAGCTTTAAATGAATACATAGGGAAGTAAATAAATTAATAATTATAGTGAAGATTATAATCAAAGTAAATAATTTTATATTTTTATTTTAAATTATTTATTAGGTTTATTATAGCTAATTAATTATATAAAATTTTAGGTATTACATTTGCTCATGTTTATACTAATGCTGCATCAGCTAAAGCATATTGCAAAATTTTTACAAGTTTATAGCATCATATTAATTTATTAACAAATGAACAGCTATCTTTTAATTATTTACATAATAAAGAGTAAAAATGTATAATCAGAGACTTAGATCAAGGGCAAGCGAAGGGTTTAGGATTAGCTTTAGCTAATATTGAATCAAAATATACCTGGAATGAACATTTAACTTATATTTTTAAAAGTTGCAAAATACATTTTTATTAGTAATTTATTTATTTATTATTTATTTATTATTGTTTTATTAGTTATAAAATTAATTAACAAATATAATAGAAATGTTAATAATAGTAGACAAAGTGAAGATATTAAAAAGCAAATGATTGAAATTTCTACTGCTAATTCAAAATCAAAAATTAAAGAAATTTTTTCAAATCTAAAATCTGCTTCGAATAAAAGTTTAAAAGGTAATTATTTAATTAATTAAATTTAACTTTAAAAATATTAATATTTTTAATATTTTTTTAAATTTCAGAATGGGTTGAATTTTATTCAAATGATTGGGTCCTTGCTTCTTTAAATCCAGTATTTTCTAAAATTCCAATTGATATATGATATTCAACTTCACATGATATAAATGTATCTGAAATCAATCATGCAAGAGTTAATAGATATGGGATTAATTTAAATCTTTAAGTGCAAGTCTTCTTTCGCTTATTTCTATATCTTCCAAATTATTAGTTAATCACTTTCTTGAGTATTAATTTGTTTTATAACAGTTTTTTGATTTTTTGCTGATTTTGATTTTGAAGTAGATGCTCGTTTTTTTATTAACCAAATTAATTAAAATTAATATTTAAAATTTATTAAATAGTTAATAAAATGCTATATTAAATTTAAATTAATACTTACT